AGATGAAGAGTTATTTAAAGCGTGCAGAAAAATCAAACATTTGACGGAAATAATCAGCGTGTTGGAAGAATTTTATTGATGTAAAAAACACCTAAGAAAAAAAAAAAAAGAATAAGCTGGGACGCAGATTACCGCATTTAACTATATAGCCTCACCTCAAAGCGAAAACTTCACAAAAAATTTTGGCAATTAAAAAAGTGGACATACACTGCTCTGCAAAAGTTTGGACCCACTTGGAAAAAATTGTTATTATTTGTATTCACGGATCGCTGCCAAAAAAACGGTCGCAAGGTAAACGTTCGTAAACGACGTAAATGGGCAAAAGAACATAAAAATTGGTCTATCAAACAATGGAAACAAGTGTTATGGACCGATGAGTCCAAATTCGAAATTTACGGTAGCGAACGGCGAATGAACTGCCGCAGAAAATCTAATTGTTAAGTCGTGTAAAACTGGACATAAATTTATGTCAAAAGCTAGACGTGCATTTTTGTAATTTAAAGACTAGTTTTTGGCAATTTTTAGACATTGGACATCATTTTTGGTAACATAGTAACTGGACGGAAATTTTTTGGAAAATTCAAAAGCGGGCATAACTTTGTGGTTATTCAAATATTAGCCATATTTTTTGATCATTTAAAATGGGGACATATATTTTTGACCACTCAAGAGTTTTGCATAAATAGAAAAAAAAACTGAACATATAACAAGTATTATGTCCTTAGAAGCCTTATATTTTGTAATGTGGATATATGTAAAAATGGACGGCAAAATGTAAACACCGACTATAGCACTGTAAAATGGTGGATATAGAGAACCGACAGTAAAAACTTTGCATGCAAGTATGTTCATGTTCATGCATGCGCGTAGGTATGTATGTAAACATGTCCACTTTTTAACGTCAAGTTATTTTTCAACTTCTAAATATTCAAAAATCGTAGGCTACTTTCCATTCATATTTTATACACTTGTTACCGTAAATTTTATTTGGTTCAGAGCATGATTCAATAATACAAGGTTAGATAATTATTGACACCCGCGGTTTGACACTCCATTACAAAACATTGCATTTACGAAGGACGGAGAAAGGGGAAGAATGAAATCTCTTGGTGCGAAAATGGTATTAGAAAAGTACGCAATTAGTAGTGATATTCCCTTTGTAAATTCTAATGTATTTGCAGGAAATCTGGCATTTTAAAGGAAATATTGAACGTAATATTGATATACAGTATGTGGAAAAAATAAGTTTCCAATATCACATAGTTT